TTTGGGAAATACACTTACTTTCTTGGTTGGATGAGAAAATTGATACCACTCATGTCTGTAGGCTAACAATGAGGCTAGAGCTAGCAGAACGTTAGCTAAGATTAGCATAAAGATAGCTAGCAATTGGAAACAACTAGCCTTGCTCTGTTTCAAACAAATCTGCATTTAACTTAAACGTATTGTCTTAACAATTTAATAAAATATTAAGTCTTTCAAAACATTTGTAATAAAAGGAGCTTTAGAGGAGGCAATAGCGCCTGCTCTTAAGACTAAGCTAAGCTAACTGTCTCATAGCTCCAGTGTCACGTTTCTATGGCAAAGAAAGCACATTCTTTCCCCTAAAATGCCCAACTATTTGGAATATAATATTCATAACTATGTTTTCATTAGTGTGTAATCAGCTGAAACTAGGAATTGTGTTTTTAGTAGCTTACACTGAGCCCTTCATTTCTACAAAGTGAGTCTTTTTTTCCAATGAGTTTTATGTTTCCCAGAACAGACAACCTGTGTCACAAAAAACAAGCTAACGTTCCACATTTTAAACAACACATAGCTTATATATACTGTAGCATATATTCACTGTTTGCTAGTTAAACTAGCGCTGCTCATTGTTTACAGTCCGATAAGAATCTTGGAAATGATTGGAGTTGAGAGACGCGTAGGACCGGATTGTTTTACAAGCATTCAGTTTACAAGCTAATTTCAAGCTACATCGTTATAGCCAATGGGTTAACATTACATTGCATTTAGCTGACGCTTTTATCCAAAGCGACTTACAATAAGTGCATTCGACCAAGAAGATACAAACTTAAAGAAAACAGAATCATATAAGTACATCAGGTTTCATAGAGCCGAAACATTTCAAGTGCTTCTCAACTAGCTTTAGATAAGCCAGTCCTTTGTTAGTATATAAGTGCTTTGTTAGTATATAAGTGCTTAGTTAGTATGTAAGTGCTTAGTTAGTATATAAGTGCTTTGTTAGTATATAAGTGCTTAGTTAGTATGTAAGTGCTTAGTTAGTATACAAGTGCTTAGTTAGTATGTAAGTGCTTAGTTAGTATGTAAGTGCTTAGTTAGTATGTAAGTGCTTAGTTAGTATATAAGTGCTTAGTTAGTATGTAAGTGCTTAGTTAGTATACAAGTGCTTAGTTAGTATGTAAGTGCTTAGTTAGTATACAAGTGCTTAGTTAGTATACAAGTGCTTAGTTAGTATGTAAGTGCTTAGTTAGTATACAAGTGCTTAGTTAGTATACAAGTGCTTAGTTAGTATGTAAGTGCTTAGTTAGTATGTAAGTGCTTAGTTAGTATGTAAGTGCTTAGTTAGTATATAAGTGCTTAGTTAGTATATAAGTGCTTAGTTAGTATACAAGTGCTTAGTTAGTATATAAGTGCTTTGTTAGTATATAAGTGCTTAGTTAGTATGTAAGTGCTTAGTTAGTATATAAGTGCTTTGTTAGTATATAAGTGCTTAGTTAGTATGTAAGTGCTTAGTTAGTATACAAGTGCTTAGTTAGTATGTAAGTGCTTAGTTAGTATGTAAGTGCTTAGTTAGTATGTAAGTGCTTAGTTAGTATGTAAGTGCTTAGTTAGTATGTAAGTGCTTAGTTAGTATACAAGTGCTTAGTTAGTATGTAAGTGCTTAGTTAGTATACAAGTGCTTAGTTAGTATACAAGTGCTTAGTTAGTATGTAAGTGCTTAGTTAGTATACAAGTGCTTAGTTAGTATACAAGTGCTTAGTTAGTATGTAAGTGCTTAGTTAGTATGTAAGTGCTTAGTTAGTATGTAAGTGCTTAGTTAGTATATAAGTGCTTAGTTAGTATATAAGTGCTTAGTTAGTATATAAGTGCTTAGTTAGTATGTAAGTGCTTAGTTAGTATACAAGTGCTTAGTTAGTATGTAAGTGCTTAGTTAGTATATAAGTGCTTAGTTAGTATGTAAGTGCTTAGTTAGTATACAAGTGCTTAGTTAGTATACAAGTGCTTAGTTAGTATACAAGTGCTTAGTTAGTATACAAGTGCTTAGTTAGTATACAAGTACTTAGTTAGTATACAAGTGCTTAGTTAGTATACAAGTGCTTAGTTAGTATGTAAGTGCTTAGTTAGTATATAAGTGCTTAGTTAGTATATAAGTGCTTTGTTAGTATACAAGTGCTTTGTTAGTATACAAGTGCTTAGTTAGTATACAAGTGCTTAGTTAGTATATAAGTGCTTAGTTAGTATACAAGTGCTTAGTTAGTATACAAGTGCTTAGTTAGTATACAAGTGCTTAGTTAGTATACAAGTGCTTAGTTAGTATGTAAGTGCTTAGTTAGTATGTAAGTGCTTAGTTAGTATGTAAGTGCTTAGTTAGTATATAAGTGCTTAGTTAGTATACAAGTGCTTAGTTAGTATACAAGTGCTTAGTTAGTATACAAGTGCTTAGTTAGTATACAAGTGCTTAGTTAGTATACAAGTGCTTAGTTAGTATACAAGTGCTTAGTTAGTATACAAGTGCTTAGTTAGTATGTAAGTGCTTAGTTAGTATATAAGTGCTTAGTTAGTATGTAAGTGCTTAGTTAGTATACAAGTGCTTAGTTAGTATGTAAGTGCTTAGTTAGTATACAAGTGCTTAGTTAGTATGTAAGTGCTTAGTTAGTATACAAGTGCTTAGTTAGTATGTAAGTGCTTAGTTAGTATACAAGTGCTTAGTTAGTATGTAAGTGCTTAGTTAGTATATAAGTGCTTAGTTAGTATGTAAGTGCTTAGTTAGTATACAAGTGCTTAGTTAGTATGTAAGTGCTTAGTTAGTATGTAAGTGCTTAGTTAGTATACAAGTGCTTAGTTAGTATGTAAGTGCTTAGTTAGTATGTAAGTGCTTAGTTAGTATACAAGTGCTTAGTTAGTATGTAAGTGCTTAGTTAGTATACAAGTGCTTAGTTAGTATGTAAGTGCTTAGTTAGTATACAAGTGCTTAGTTAGTATGTAAGTGCTTAGTTAGTATACAAGTGCTTAGTTAGTATATAAGTGCTTAGTTAGTATGTATCTAAGTACGGTTTTTTGTTGTTGTTTTTTTTCATTTTATTGCTCGAAGTGGAGTTGAAAGAGATGAGTTTTCAGTCCGCGCCGGAAGATGTGTAAGCTTTCTGCTGTCCTGATGTCAATGGGGAGCTCATTCCACCATGTTGGAGCCAGGATAGCAAACCCACGTGTTTTTGCTGATGGGAACTTGGGTCCCCCTCGCAGTGCGGGTGCAGCGAGCCGTTTGGCCGATGCAGAGCGGAGTGCACGTGCTGGGGTGTATGGTTTAACCATGTCCTGGATGTAGGAAGGGCCAGATCCATTCACAGCATGGTGCGCAAGTACCAGTGTCTTGAAGTGGATTCTAGCAGTTACTGGAAGCCAGTGAAGGGAGCGGAGGAGTGGTGTGGTGCGGGAGAAATTGAATATCTGGCGATGCATTTACTCCTTTGCTTTGAAACCAAAGCACAAACCTCTCCTTTGGATATCTCTACAAACAGATTCTGCATATGATTGCACAATATAAAGATTACCTTGTCACTGACCTTCCAAAGGCTATAGGTTAGTCCAATATAATAACACAAGAGTAAGCTATAACCGACCTTCTAGCGTCATGAATGTCGCAGCCATGAATGATCAATACAAAAACATTCAATGACATTTATATAATTGATTCATATTGTGAGTGTCCTCGTTGACATTCGGGTTTCAGTCATCTCAAATGTCACTCGTTCACATCGCTGTGTTGTGTCTCTTTCTTGACCCGCGTTAACCCCAGCTGAGTATCTACATCTGTCACATAGCCCTTTATTCATGGGCGTCACGCACCAAATGCAAAGCTGTCAGCAGTGAAGCGTCAATTTGCAGAAGGTATGCGGGGAATGCTTCTCACGCAGAATCGTAGTCGCCTTAATCCCTTTAATTTCCAAGGATTTAACAGAAATGCAGCGAGGATGAGTGGAATTCCCAACACCTTAAATGCAACAAGACATTTCATTTTTCATGTTTTTGGGGCATTTAATCTTCTGTAAACACACAGAAACCCTATTGTCTTCTCACCAAATGTACCTACTTGTGTACACTGCTTAAACATGACGTTGAAATCAATTAAGAGCTCATTTTGTACACTCACTCATCAAGCCAGTTGAATCTGTTCTTAATAAATGCAAATACAGATTTAATCCACTTTGCTACCAATTTCATGCCGCTCCAGCGAGGAGGATTTACACGCCACTCTCCTGTTCTTGGGAACTATTCATTTCATCCTAATCAGATCCAGCTGTATAATTGCTGTCATGGAGATTAGTGCCAAGGAAAGGAAAGGAAAGGAAAGGAAAGGAAGAAACAACACACTATCGTACACATATTAATAAATCCATCCCATGCAGACACACTGTACACACAGCAGCTGACGGCCGCCTGATAGTGCTGAGCGCTGCAGAGATGAAACCAGAGATGCTGCACGCTCTGCTTAATAGAATTCACACTGGCGGCGTCGGCCGGCTGTAGTAAAATGCAAATGTGAGCCGGTGCTTTCCTGCGTGGGCTGCTCCATTCAGAAATGTGAGGGAAACGCGTAGCGCAGAGAAAAAGTGTTTCTGCAAACGAAACCACTTTCTTTAAAGGGCAACATATATGTAAAAGTGCAGGTAAATACCCAGATTAAGCATCCCTAATACATCCCATATGTCACTGCAGCACATGAGCAGGACTTTGATCATACAACCATGGTAACGCCGATCAAAAAGACACAGCATGAGAATGAAGCAGCTGATATGTGGGCAATTAAAGCTGCTACTACATTTCTGGTGCCAGCTACAGAAAAACGAACCCTACAGTATTCCAGCTTTACTATGTCCTAAACAGTTACGGAAGCACAGCAGGTATATTTTCTTCAGATGTTTGATGATTCCGTGTTTCAGATTCATCCTATTTGTCACTGCAGTGTTGTGGATGAATGAGCAGCTGATAAATAAAAGGGATTGTGGATATAAAAGTCCTACCTCTCCTGGTCTGTCTGATCTTTGGGCTCAGCATGGCTGTCATCGCTGGTCCACGCGCTTTCCTCTCGGCATGTTCGTTTACATCCAAGCACCTCACCCCTGTCTCTCCCTTTGCCTCTCTCCTCCTCTTCCCTTCCCTGACCTTCTGCAGTGCAGCTAGGGGGTTGGGTGAATGGAAAGAGAAGGGGGTGGTGGTAGTGAAGGAAAAGGAAAGGGAGGAGGAGGAGGAGGTACAACCCCTCTTGGTTTTTTTCCCCGTCCACCCCTCCCTGTTACATTATTCATAGAGAAACATCCGCCCGGGGTTAATGGCAGAGGAGGTTTTTTCAGTTTTTAGGAGCACCGACCTCGCCGGCTAACAGATGCTTTTATAAGTGTTGTTATTTTCAGCTTTTTTTGTTATAAAGATCTGTTTGTAAAAGGCAGATAAAGAGAAGGGGGTTGGGGGGGTGGCAGGTGTCTCCTCCTTCTGCACCTAATTAAGATGTAGAGGCTCTCAGCATGTCTCCACCTCCTTCCCTTGATTACTCATTTTCTACGCATCCCAGCTTTCTCTCATTTTCTTTCTAATCTTTCTCTTCAATCGCCACAATTCCCCTTGTCATTTTACTACACATCCATCAGTCTGTAGTCTCTTTTCTTTCCCTCCTTAAACCATTTTTGTCTCTGCCACTCTGGGAGTGAGGCTGCTTTTGATTCGAAGTCAGACGTGGGGAATTCCCAGCAGGTCGTAATTACATCCTCCAGGCATTCCAGTGGCACAACTGAGAGAAAATACTATTCCTCTCCTCTAACAGACAATGTCATGTCGCTCTGGGCTACAGCGGCCTGTCATTGACACGAGAAGTGTGTAGGAGTGTGGCAGAAAGAGAGTTGTGTTACTAAGAGGAAAAATGTCACCAGTGTTTATTTTGGCACCTGATTGTGATATGATTGTCTTTTATCGAAAATGTATTTTTGTCCATCTTCCATACAGTCATTTTGAATTATATAGTCATAGTCTTGTTTTCAAAGGGTTACTGTATTCTCCAATTGACCATGAAATAAATGTGACTATTATTGACTTCGTGATTTACATATTGAACTCATAATTGTTTATACACCTTGACTTAAAGCTCTGCCAGGTGTTAAATATCATGAAATATCAGAAAAACCTGATTGTTTTTTTTGGGTTGAAATTCCCATTCCAGCCTAATTTTTTAATTTTAATTTTGTGGATTTGCTTGTTATTGATGTAAAATAATGAATACAATATTTTAAACCATAGTAATTCACAAAATAAAATATAAAAGTAACTATTCAAACACAAAACAAATATCAACATTTCTTAATATGGAAACAGAGTAAGGAAAAGAGGCTAGTCATTTCAACAACTAGATGAAAATGTTAACTGTTAAGACAGTTAACTGGGTTTAATTGTTTTACAATAACCAAAATGAACCTCAATGAACACCTTTAAAAAATATGTATAAAACTACTACTAACTAGAAGACTTTTTGTAGGTTTACTGATGAGTCCGAGTTGTGTAAGCTGAAGATTTCTGTATTAAATGCTGCTTTCTGTTGTCAAACAATATGGAAAACGAAGCAAAATTCTTTAGCTGCACACTGGTAAAGTCAAAATCTGCCTTTTACTGTAAGATGATCTAATCTCTGTGCTTCTAATGTGTATCTAATGTAGAAATGTGGTGCTGGAGGGCAGCATCAGAGCTATGGTTGCGTTAGCAGCTGTCCTCCTCCTCCTCAGTGTACACAGAATAATAGCCTTAAGTCCTGCACTGCAATTGAATCAGAGCTGGCCTCACGTCAACCACAGCTGCTCTTATTACAGAGCGAAAGAGGCAGAGAGACGCAGAGGGGGTGGAGGAGTGTGTGAGTGTGTGTGTAGCCTCACATAACATACATGTACACACAGGTTAACAAGCTTTTAAAATGAACCAGCAAACGCTAGGTGGGTCTCCGGCGCACACACACACATGGAAGAAACAAAAAGAAAATAGCCAAAATGAGGCTGACAGAAACAGAGATGGGGGTCACACAAGCTGTAATGAAACAGGGAGAAAGAGGGCACACACACACACATATACACACACACACACACACACACACATATACACACACTGACAAGAAAACCAAGATGAAAACAGAAGCCAAAATGAGATAGCAATAAAAAGGCTTCAGCGCCAGTGTTTGGTTTAAGCCTGAGGTTTGGGTGAGCGCGGTGTGGCCGTGGGTATGGCGCTGGGTGTTGTTTCCCTCCGAATGTATCTCCTAAAATCATCCTCATATTGTTCTGTTAACACAAAAATGGGGTGTTGCACAAATGAGGAAGAGAGAGGAAAGTGAAAGGAGGAAATATGGATGTTTGAAGCCACAAAGAAAGACAAAAGGCAGAGTTGCTAACCAGAGCTTTTTCTGTTTTTGTTTAGCCATAACCACTGGGCTGCCCTCTGTTAACACTTCACTGGCACCAAAACCCTTGAGTATTCAAGCTTCCACGTCTGTTTCAGAGCACCACATCTGCTGGTTTTAGGTACAGCAGTGCCAGGGGGGGACTGTCCGTTGGTTTATATGCCTATTATTCAAAAGGCTAATTGTTCGAAAGAATATTCTGAAGGCATATTATCGCAAAATCAAAAGCCCACTGATGGGAAGTCAGATTTCTGTGACTGATGAGTTAGCTACTTCCAAGCTAGGCTACCTAAATGTATTGCTTAAGTTACCAGATAACAAATAAATCATAGCCGAAATCATAACATATGGCTTGTCATAACATCTAAGGAAATATCTTTTAAATTTGGCTGATATTCAACTTCAACAGCCCTTCTGTGAACTGAGTTAAATAAACAAAAGTGGGCTTCAACCAAGCTAGCTAGCTATTGGCGACCGTTAGCATGCTAGCTAGCTTAGGGAGCATGCTCCAAGTTCTCAACAGTGACAATCACAGCCGTTAATCAGCTAGCAATGATTGTTTAAGGTACCAAATCATTACAGAAAGCTCAATTAATCAAATCAAATTAACAGTGGCTTCTTTCACATACAAGTGAAGTGGTCTGTTACCTAAATAATGAAAAGAAAACAAATATAAGTTTAATTTTGTTTAGTGCTTTGTTTACTGGAGCAATTGCAGCTGGTTCCGTTACGTTGAAAACATACTTTTTCATAGTTATTGGAGCAACATCCGAGTACTCGAAGTGCATTTTGCCATACTTTGCTACAGTTTGGGACACTCTTGTGCACTTAAAACAGCAAATGTAAATAAATAAGTACTAGGGATGCTCCGATCGATCGGCCGCCGATTGATATCGGCCGATATTCACTCTCTGCCGATCGATCGGTGCTCTCTATAAAGGCCGATCGGGAGAGCCGATCACATGACACTTTTCTCTGTGCGCGGCAAAACAAGCTCGCCAAAATGGCTTCACCGGTCTGGCAGTATTTTAAGGTGTCCGAAAAAGACAATAAAATAGCGGTATGCAACGTGTGTGAAGCAGAAATCCTGCCTCCGTTGCTCGCTTCGAAAGTTGAGAAAAGTTCAACTTTTCAAGCGTCGACGGAAGCGCCAGTCGACGTGTACATTTCTTTTCAGTTTGCTTCAAGAAGTGGCTTCAGCAGACAGAAATGCAGGCCAGATTGGGAAAGGCTGGACGCTACACAACGGGAAACATTATGGACATGAACAAGGAAAAACAAAAAAAACTTTCTTTGTTGCCTTTTTCTTATCATACATAGTGTTACTGTTTTTGTTACCATTTAAATATTGAATTCTATTTATTACTTTTATTTTAAATCAAATGCACCTGTTTTAGATAATATATTTATTTTGATGTATAGGTTGATTTGCAGGTTGATTGTTATTTGTATAATGATTGTATTGTTACTGTGTATTTTATTATATTAACTAGCTATTTATTGCTATTTATTAAATTAAAATACTGTAATGAACACTACACAATGTCTTTATTTTGGTAGATACCAGAATACATGACACAATGAATCTTTGTAATATATTTATGTTCTCTGGTTTAAATAATCATACCAGTATTTAAACAATGTATGCTGGTCACCTGGAATCCTGGTAAGCTTCCAGCATGGTATATTTAATACTATTATTAAACATACTGTAAGCTGGTGATCGATGGATGCTGGTGACCGGTATGCTGGTTTTTTTAGCTGGCCAGGATGGCTGGTTTAGCTGGTTTAGCTGGTCTAGCTAAACCAGCTAAACCAGCCATCCTGGCCAGCTAAAGTGTCCAAAACCCCTCTAAACCAGCCAATAATTCCAGCCTAATATCTTATGGCTGGTCAGGCAGGTTTTTTTAGCAGGGAAGAGTTACACTTAACACACTTAGCTATTTTATCTACCTCTGGAACAAGCTAAACTAGTTATAAATATGTTTATTCTTCACTGTCGGGTCACTCATTACTGGATCAGTGAGCTGCATGAGACGATACTGACGGCTTATCCAAAGTTAATGTAAACTTGAATAATGTACTTCATTTGAATGTAATAATGATGTTGGTTGTTGTTTGTGGAAGCGCCAGTGAATGAGCCCCATTAACTGAGTTTTAAACATCACTTTAAATGGAAGATCCCCATAGCCCCCGCCCACTCGATCGGATCGGCGATCGGTATCGGCCGATACTGCTTCCGGCGATCGGCCCCAAAATTGGCGATCGGAGCATCCCTAATAAGTACACAAATTAAGACACAGCAATGGTCATTCTTGGGTTAATTGCAGGACTGCAAAACACTAAAGAAAACGAACTTGTGTAGCATGCCATGTTGAAAATGCAAGTGGATATATCAATAATGCTTACATTCTTCCCCATTGAGGTCAAATACTGTCACAGCGGATGAACTGTGCTTGGAATAATAACATGTCTTCAGAATCCACAGTGTTTATAAAACCTTGTAAAATATTAATGCTGAGGAGGATTAAAATTTCATATTGGTAGGGTGGGCTAAAGCAGTGTCTGCTGCTGAAGGTGTGACTGTTGACTTAGCATGACTTATTGATCACCAGCAGTCACCAGGGGCTCTATTAACCATGCCTCTTTAAATCATTTCATTAAAACCAGATTTAATTTCCATAATAAAGACATTTTA